ATTATCCAAGTAGAGAACAGTACAATCTGTATGTTCGAGGGGTGTTGTGATGCAGCATTCAGTCAATTCCCCAAGTAGAGAACAGTACAATCTGTGTGTTCGAGGGGTGTTGTGATGCAGCATTCAGTCAATTCCCCAAGTAGAGAACAGTACAATCTGTGTGTTCGAGAGGTGTTGTGATGCAACATTCAGTCAATTCCCCAAGTAGAGAACAGTACAATCTGTGTGTTCGAGATGTGTTGTGATGCAACATTCAGTCAATTCCCCAAGTAGAGAACAGTACAATCTGTGTGTTTCCGATGTGTTGTCATGCAACATTTGGTCAATTCCCCAAGTAGAGAACAGTATAATCTGTGTGTTCGAGAGGTGTTGTGATGCAACATTCAGTCAATTCCCCGAGTAGAGAACAGTACAATCTGTGCTTTCGAGGGGTGTTGTGATGCAGCATTCAGTCAATTCCCCAAGTAGAGAACAGTACAATCTGTATGTTCGAGAATTGTTATATGCAGCATTCAGTCAATTCCCCAAGTAGAGAACAGTACAATCTGTGTGTTCGAGATGTGTTTTGATGCAGCATTCAGTCAATTCCCCAAGTAAAGTACATTACAATCTGTGTGTTCGAGAGGTGTTGTGATGCACCATTCAGTCAATTCCCCAAGTAGAGAACAGTACAATCTGTGTGTTCGAGGGGTGTTTTGATGCAGCATTCAGTCAATTATCCAAGTAGAGAACAGTACAATCTGTATGTTCGAGGGGTGTTGTGATGCAGCATTCAGTCAATTCCCCAAGTAGAGAACAGTACAATCTGTGTGTTCGAGGTGTGTTGTGATGCAGCATTCAGCCAATTCCCCCAGTAGAGAACAGTTCAATCTGTGTGTTCGAGAGGTGTTGTGATGCAACATTCAGTCAATTCCCCAAGTAGAGAACAGTACAATCTGTGTGTTCGAGGGGTGTTGGGATGCAGCATTCAGTCAATTCCCCAAGTAGAGAACAGTACAATCTGTGTGTTCGAGGGGTGTTTTGATGCAGCATTCAGTCAATTCCCGAAGTAGAGAACAGTACAATCTGTGTGTTCGAGGGATGCCGGATGCAGCATTCAGTCAATTCCCGAAATAGAGAACAGTACAATCTGTGTGTTCGAGATGTGTTGTGATGCAACATTCAGTCAATTCCCGAAGTAGAGAACAGCATAATCTGAGTGTTCGAGAGGTGTTGTGATGCAACATTCAGTCATTTCCCTAAGTAGAGAACAGTACAATCTGTGTTTTCGAGGGGTGTTGTGATGCAACATTCAATCAATTCCCCAAGTATAGTACAGTACAATCTGTATGTTCGAGATGTGTTGTGATGCAGCATTCAGTCAATTCCCCAAGTAGAGAACAGTACAATCTGTGTGTTCGAGGGGTGTTGTGATGCAGCATTCAGTCAATTCCCCAAGTAGAGAACAGTACAATCTGTGTGTTCGAGGGGTGTTGTGATGCAGCATTCAGTCAATTCCCCAAGTAAAGTAAAGTACAATCTGTGTGTTCGAGCGATGTTGTGATGCAACATTCAGTCAATTCCCCAAGTAGAGAACAGTACAATCTGTGTTTTCGAGGGGTGTTGTGATGCAACATTCAATCAATTCCCCAAGTATAGTACAGTACAATCTGTATGTTCGAGATGTGTTGTGATGCAGCATTCAGTCAATTCCCCAAGTAGAGAACAGTACAATCTGTGTGTTCGAGGGGTGTTGTGATGCAGCATTCAGTCAATTCCCCAAGTAGAGAACAGTACAATCTGTGTGTTCGAGGGGTGTTGTGATGCAGCATTCAGTCAATTCCCCAAGTAAAGTAAAGTACAATCTGTGTGTTCGAGCGATGTTGTGATGCAACATTCAGTCAATTCCCCAAGTAGAGAACAGTGCAATCTGTGTGTTCGAGGGGTGTTGTGATGCAGCATTCAGTCAATTCCCCAAGTACAGTACAGTACAATCTGTATGTTCGAGATGTGTTGTGATGCAGCATTCAGTCAATTCCCCAAGTAGAGAACAGTACAATCTGTGTGTTCGAGATGTGTTGTGATGCAGCATTCAGTCAATTCCCCAAGTAGAGAACAGTACAATCTGTATGTTCGAGAGGTGTTGTGATGCAACATTCAGTCAATTCCCCAAGTAGAGAACAGTACAATCTGTGTGTTCGAGGGGTGTTGTGATGCAGTATTCAGTCAATTCCCCAAGTAGAGAACAGTACAATCTGTGTGTTCGAGAGGTGTTGTGATGCAACATTCAGTCAATTCCCCAAGGAGAGAACAGTACAATCTGTGTGTTCGAGATGTGTTGTGATGCAGCATTCAATCAATTCCCCAAGTAGAGAACGGTACAATCTGTGTGTTCGAGGGGTGTTGTGATGCAGCATTCAGTCAAATCCCCAAGTAGAGAACAGTACATTCTGTGTGTTCGAGGGGTGTTGTGATGCAGCATTCAGTCAATTCCCCAAGTAGAGAACAGTACAATCTGTGTGTTCGAGATGTGTTGTGATGGAACATTCAGTCAATTCCCCAAGTATAGTACGGTACAATCTGTGTGTTCGAGGGGTGTTGTGATGCAGCATTCAGTGAAGTCCCTAAGTAGAGAACAGTACAATCTGTGTGTTCGAGAGGTGTTGTGATGCAACATTCAGTCAATTCCCCAAGTATAGTACGGTACAATCTGTGTGTTCGAGGGGTGTTGTGATGCAGCATTCAGTGAAGTCCCTAAGTAGAGAACAGTACAATCTGTGTGTTCGAGAGGTGTTGTGATGCAACATTCAGTCAATTCCCCAAGTAGAGTACGGTACAGTCTGTCTCGCCTAGATGCGATTGTCATGGCGTCATTGTGAAGCAGTTTGTCAGGTACTGTACCTGTTGATAGGGTAGTTTGACCTTGTTCAGGCCTGTTGTCAAATAGGCTTAGTATAACTTTGTTTGGTCGAGGATTTTACAATATGTGTGTATGTAACACGGATATAGACTGGTTATATACATAATATCTAACGGTTAATTATGACTGGCTTTAAGTTTTATTAACTATGCATTTGTACTTTTGTTTGAACCAATTGTTATGGAGTTTAACAACTGGCCAAGTTTAAAATCTAATTTCTAGAGTTTGTGATAATGTTTTTGGAGGAAATGATGTATATCGCTATGTTTTGGAATCGACAAAAAAACTTTCCTAAACAATGAATATAGTATTGTATGATGCATGCACTATTAAGCCATGGTGCCTATATACATATGACATCCCAAACACCCTACTGTGATGATCGTATGAGGCGAATACACTGGATCGGATGGTCGGACATTTGTGATGGCTTGTCATCTTGACCTGATGGCGTGTGTCATATATTATGTCCTCAGTCACCGGTCTCTCTGTCACAGCAGGTGGACATCAACTATAACTGGAATATTGCCTTTTTAGGTGAAACACAATAGTTACTCACTCACACACATGCAAGTTATTCTCAGTGTATGTTGTAGGGGATATGCTAAGCCTGTATAGAGAAATATGAATAAAAGATTTTTAGAATATTTGATTATCTCACATTCCCTGATTCTGTTAATTGACATTTAAACATAATATTTTAATTATTATTTAGTTTGATTGTATCAGATTTATTTTCGAAAAGGAATAATTCGGTGATCATGATAGTGTGGTTATTAAAAAGACTGCACATCTCCATACCTTTTAGTAGCGACACAGAGATTAAATAGAATGAACGCATATTATTTTATTCCGCATTAACAATTTTGCAGATTTTCATGACGAGAAACCATTGAGAGGGATAACTTGTAACTATTTTGCACTCACACTCCAATGGGTTTATTTGTTAACCAAAACTTTATGTAGATTAATATATCAGACAATAAGCACCTGGTGGCAATCATACAATGACTCAGTTTCACACCTGGCGCTAATTACAAGAGGCAAACAGTACGTTTAGCATATTCTCCCTACAAGAAGCACCTGTTAAATTTATCACTGTTTACAATATTGCGGCCATGAGGGTCATATATCATATATCAAACAGTCATATCTTGTCTTATCTTTATTTGTCTGGACAACCAGAAATAACATCTTTCAAGAAATGTTTTAGTTAATGCAAAATCAAACTTCAACCAAACTTAGTATTGGATATAGAGTTTCAATGAGCTTGAAGTGTTCTTCAGTGATATCATTTTAGGTGGTGAGATGAAAAGGAGTTCAATGTCGCGTTCAATCTTGCATGCACGTGTGTGTGTTTGTGTGCGTGATGTAAACCCATCGAATTATAGCAATTGACAAGTAATTCAGTTTGTATAATTTGTGTACGTTTGGCATTGTTGCATTGCAAGAAATATGATAGAACATGCACCAGTGGCATATACATCAGAGGCACCTACAGTTCATAATTATTTTAATCAGTTAGATTCTACATATATGATTAATTCATTTTTATTGAATACAATTTACTTAACAGATTAAGCATTATTCGATTTAACTAATATGCATAATAAAGTACACTCATTCATCAGTGTTGATTCAACAGCAACGCAATATCAAGTAAATTAATTTCTGATAAAGAACAAGTATATAACTTTGACATTAACATATGTAGTTTTCAGAAAATAAAGTGCCGGGCAAAATAAAATATACACCCATGTTTGATCGTGTGGAAAACAAAGACACATGGTTATTAACGGTGATGTATGACAGGTTTTGGACCCTTTGTTGCATTGTTTCGGGGACTGTTTTCAGCCTTGTTACGTTTGGATAACGTTTGTAAGTTTTGGGTGTCATCTAATTTTCATGTGTGTATTTTCTTTTGTCCAGTATATAATTTGTAATAGGTTTTGTCGAATATTTAATAATTGAGCCATTCCACTGATTTATCAGTGCTAATTCAATTTATGTTAACACAAGACCATTTACGAATAAAGTATGTAAAACAATACATGAAACGGACATGTTTGCATTGAAATTAACATCTATTTTTATTTTTCAGAAGAATATGGTAAATCAAAAGAAGTGCAACACACACATACAATAAAAATATCTCCCAAGCACGAAAGAAACTATCAAGAAGCATCCACAAGCCGCGACACCCTAACACCCAGTAGCAATGGAACCGTAAAACATGGAGACGATATGTATTTAAGCCCAAGTGCAGCCAGCCATCCGCAGCCAATGATTACACTTCAACAACCCCCTCTCTTGAACCATTCCGTGGAGAAAATCTCCCCCTCGCGACCTTTAATGAACGCCCGAACAAGGCATCAAAAAATTCTTCAAAGGCAGATGTCTGAAAATCAGTTGTCTCCTTTTACGTTGACCAATGAAAAACTGGAGGCTATTGTCATACACGACATTGTCCCAAGACCCACACGTGCTGCTGCTGTTCAAAGGACAGAGACAGTTGAAAGTGTTGAATCCATCTCGGATTCAGAAGATCCAGCTGGAAAGTCGTGACGAGGAATACGCAGGTGGAACAAAGACACTCTCCATTGTGGTACCTCTCTGCTCACGATTTTTTATACATAGTTATACATGGCCTTTCACTCACAACATTACCAGAGAGTTTTGGTCTCTTTTTTTTCCAGATATTGTTTTATTTTGAAATATGCCTATGTTTGTATGATGATATATTTTTTCGTTAAAGGAATAGATCCAGATGGGGAATGTTAGGGACAAGCTGAAGTCATTTAAAGTAAGATGTTTGGGTTCGCTGATCAAAGTACCCACAGAATTAATAAACGGTAAGAACACGAAACAAGATGGAACATTTGCATTTATGACCAAGATGACTGTTCTTTATTAAAAATGACAAATATATTTAATAATTTCACTAACAAAATAAGAAATATGCAATGCGTTGAGAAGAAAGTATTAATCGACCATTGGAATTGCTTGAACTAAATATTATGATCACATCTTTGGCTTGGTCAATATTGAAGTAACTATTTCCTTGACTACCACGCTTCTGATGAGCCAACTGTACCTTGACCTTCGCTCTCTGCCGGTAGTAAATGACATTCTCACCTCTTTCGCGATGATGTCACTGTAACTTACAATAATTTGTTAATGTTCGTAATATAATTCGTCGCTTCCATTTTATTTTGATTCTTTGTCCTAGGACAGAGATGCGACTGTGAATATTCTTAGAATCTCTGATTAATGTTTATGGCACTTATTAAACGAGGACCTCGGACCCCCGGTGTATATAAATGTGAACAGTGCTTCTACCTACCCCTGTATGGTAATGGTAGCAATAAAACCATCTGAACATGTCATAATTGCAGATAAATCTTATACTCACGTGATACAAATAATATTATGACGATATTCTTATCAATGTGTCACTTGTATATTATCAGAATGCCATCATTCATTCACCTTGTCATGACAGGTTTGGGTATGTAAACAGCCGGGAAAAGAACATATTTCGATTTGGCCTCAAATACAAACGTTATCAAAACGTCCCGAAACACTGCAAACTTAAGGTCAAAAGCACATCTATCATATCCGTGTCAAATACATCAACATTGAATAACCATTTCTTGTTTGTTTGTTTCTTGTTCAAACATGGGTGTATACTTACTTTTGCCCGGAGCGGTCGGGCAGCCTAGTGGTTAAAGCGTTCGCTCGTCACGCCGAAGACCCGGATTCGATTCCCGACATTGGTACAATGTGTGAAGCCCATTTCTGGTGTCCCCCGCCGTGATATTGCTGGAATATTGCTAAAAGCGGCGACAAACCATACTCACTGACACTGACACTAACTTTTGGCCAGCAGTTTGTGAAAATTAATGTTTTCTCCATAGGTATGATAACAACGCTAGCGTTTCTTTATAGCATAACGTTATTAACTAACACCGTTAGTATATAGTAAACATGATAGTTCATGACATTAACATACTAAGCAGATATTCACATAATCCGTATTAATATAACTAATATATATTAATGCATTGTGTAAACTTTTGAATTCTAAACATATGTATCAAAACTACATTGCGCTTACTATAGGTATGGGATCAAAGCATTTTGTGACCACAAAGTGACCATTACAGATGTTAACAGATGCAAAACATGCATCAATTATAATTCTTGTAGACTGTGAAAACGACATGTATGTGTGAATTTGATCAAAGCATATTATTCCGACTACATATTTTAATACATCTGCAGTGGAAGAAATCAACTGATTACTAGCTGTCATCAGTGGAGAAGGATGCAGTTGAGATCAGTTTACCATGATCTTTCATGAACTACGTCAGTATTTAAGTGCATGGTATCAGATGTTATAACAGTGGTATGTCAAGCAGCACACTACATCCTGGGTGGTATAATGTCAGGTTCTTAAATGTTATTAGGCGCCATTGGATGTTTCAATGTAACCGTGTACTCCAACCATGTTTTTCATCAGTGTATCCTCAGTCGGCCCTCGGCGCAGCATAATTATATGTCACATATGTTCCTGTCTTTGGTATGGAGTTTATGTGTGTTATACGTTTGTTGTCAGCTTTATCATAACACCGGCAATAAGTGTAGTCTAGTCAGAATGGGTAGTGCATAAGAGTTATCTCCCTTAGTTGCCTTCCGTCTTATATTTGCATAATTATCGCCATCATCGCATATATGCAGAAAGCTTTTGTTTGGGATGAGACCTTGTCAAATGACCATAATATTTATCAATTTCTGGTATTCCTTGCGATGAAATAAGGTTGTTTTCTCTGTAAACAAAAAGATGTTCGTAATTGTATCTAAAGCTCGTTTTCGTGATATTTACGCAAATGTATTGTATTGCCGTTAATGTTAATGTATGTGGGCCACAAACGCTTCCAAAATAAAGTGCGCAGTAAGTCGCTTAATTAGCTACCTATAAACGAAGCTTTCTTTGGGGCAAGTGTACCATGTATTGATGTATATACGGTAACTAGTGGTGTGTGATAGAACTTACTGATTCAAAGTACACACGACTGAGTCATCAGTTTTCCCATACGATAACGGTTTGCCCCCCATTGTTAGACCAGCGTGAAACACGTGGACGTAGGGAATACCTGATAACAACGTCATTGCAAATCTCAGATGTAAGTTGAACATTGCAATTTAACCAGGAAGACTGGTACAAGGTCACAGTAGGATCCAAAGACATAAAAGCTTTCTATCTTTATCATTAGGAGAGGAAAACTCGGAAGATCAACATCCCTCATCTATTCCAGCTTTCAAAATCTTCTTGAAGGACAATGACAAATCAAAAGGTCCAACTCTCTCTCGTAATTCGGCTTTTGTAATCAAATTGTAAAAGATGAATAGCTCAAACCATCGTTTACGTGATTGTATGTTGAACTAATGAGGGCAACACTGTTTTAAGAATGTATCTTGTAGAGTCTAAACATTATAACAACGAAAGCTGTAGTAAATATCGAGGTTTGGAGCCAATCATTTTGAAATATGAAATGCTCGGCATGAAGACTATTGGACGTCGTCCCTCTTGTCATTCAGTCTTTTTGATATTTTTTGGCACTTTAAATCTAAATACACAGATATCAATATGGAACAAATGAGGCGGTGTCACTGGTTTCTTTTATTTCTGGCTCAATGGAAGGGAATTGACCAGTTCACCATTATTGAATATAACAGATCTTCGATATACCCAAAGTTCTCGGCGACATTACCTTGTTTTGCATTTGCAATTCCGAGAAGAAATATAATTTATTTGCATAAAGAAACAGACTACACAATTGGTGTCCATGCGCGAAGCTGTATTACAAGTGTGAATGTAAGCTTGGAGCTTACCATGTTCCTAGGAAGAATACAACGGCTGAAATACGACTGCGGTTTTGAGATCTAGTCCATTCCATCTAATCACTATGGAAACAGAACTGCCAAACGATGCACTGACCCATTTCAAACAAAACTCCATCTGTGTTTTACATTAATATATGTCAAGGATATGAAGTCGATTGTTATACGTGTTTTTATACTGACATATTTCAGAAGGTGTGTACAGTAATGTACGTAAGATGGGATGTTCTGTAGATTGTATTTGTTTATTTTCTATTCATAACAGAATATTTGTTGTTACAAAAGAGTTGTATTGCCAGCAAAATATATTGGTAGTGTAACGTCCCATTTTAAAACATGCAGCCATGTTGCTGATAAAGAAATACATGTTGAGTCAGTGTATTTTACATTAATTGCGAACAGACCGAGAAACAATTGCGATGTGATGATCGCGGTAGGATTCCGTCAAGATTACGATTGGTCGCGTTTAAGGACGAGTATTTACGGTAAATCTGGGATTCGAACAAAACGATCGTAGGGCTCTGTGTTGCCTAAGGGACGCAATTCTGTACAGCAAACGTCGTCTTTGACGACCGTGTCTCTCGCGGCCCTAAGAAGAACGAACACCCGCATTCGTTGGTGTTGGCATATTATTCCATGGGATTGGCAGTAGTAGTTTAATGTTTAATATATGGCACACGTTATGTCCATCGGTTGTGCCAGGATCCAGTGATAGTTGGTTTGATTATGACCGTTGGGACAAAAGTGTCGACCGTATGTGCCCCATTTAGAGTGAGTGAGTGAATGTTGTTTAACGCAGAAGTCAGCAATGTACCAGCTCCAACACGACGGTCTGTAAATAATATTGTCTGGGCCACTCAGCCGATGACTGAAGCGTGAGTAACGAGCCACACTTTAGGGGGTAAGATTAAACTTAATCAGCCAAGTCACGGTGCCTGATGACCCGATCCTCATTCCTCGGGTCTGGCGACAAGCAAGGGTGAATGGGGATCAGTTCTGACCGGGAAACCCCACGGGGGATTCCATTTAAGTCTTACATGAATATTTGAAAGGACTCGATCATATTTTTAACATCCTTCATTGGAAATGTCAACAGCGAGAACGCCTTCATGAACTTACACGTACCTCCAAAGGACAGACGTATTTTTCAGAACTGTCATACGTGTTTAGGATACTATTTGTGGCAGAATGAAAAAGACGCGGATTATAATTCTATTAGAAACACGTTGGTCGATAACATGTATTTGTAGTATATTTGATAGGACTGTCATTTTCGCCACTGGTATTGACGTCATTCAAACGATACACAGGTGTATGTATTGATCCATTTATCCAATTTGTTCATAAATCTATATTTTCAATATACATTCACATCAACTGTGAAGTAAATACTATGTGACTGAATGTAGGACATGTATGTTGATACTGTTAGATATCTATCTGCATCCTCATTGTTGCGGGGGATGAAGTGTCACATCTGTAGGAACTGGAGCAAAACTTTTAACTTTATAAAAAAATTAAAAAAATGACACAAGTAATAAAAACAAATGAATTTAACATTGAAGCATTATAATCCCGTTATCAAGCGATGCCTAGCAAGTGTGTTCGGGGCACTGTATCTCGTGTCATCCACGGGGAAATCTATTGCTACTGAAAATTACATGTTTTGAAAATAAACCTTTCCCATGTTCTATAAAAGACGAGTGTTTTGTTCTTTGGGCTAAACATACCACCAACACCAAAGAGTGGTACTGGCCTAGTAGAAGTATAATGACGCTCTCAGCAGTAATTACAGTTGTATGGCGGCGTGTCGCCTTTATATAGGAGGAAAGCCGGAAAATAGGCAGGTCCTACTCTTTGGTGAATCCCACGAGCAGGGGTACATTGAGCAGAAAAACCAAAACTCATAATCAGGGTGAATATAGGATTCGAACCTTCGATCATATTATGCTGAGATGCCTGTGGGATGCAACTCGAATACCACCGGACAACCAACAGGGCAAGAATGCCCTGTCTTGTCTTGAAGCACCATGACTGTGTTCATGGATTTTATCAAGATATTAAACGTGTACAACCTTATTGCTATGGTGCGGACAAACCAAGGATCATAATCAGGGCTGATAGTGGATTCGAACCCACGGGATGCTGACACTCTTAACGGACGCAACTCCCGACGAAGAGCCGGCCGTGTCCCCTGAATCCATTAGGTTACATGAATATTAATTAAATGGGTTCAACATCCCCGTGCCAGGCTATCCGAAGGTGATTCATCACAATGTGGTATTTATAAACAATCATTAAAACTACATGTTGCTGGCAAACGGAGGATGCGAACATCACACACATTCGGTTGATCTCTGTTCCACAGGTCATAATTCAACCAACTCTGAGAGGAATCCATATTGGGGCGGATATTCCACTAGTTTCACTAGTTCACTTCGTTAATAAAGCGAGATAAAAGTTACCTTTATTCTGTAAGTACTTGTCCATATTTCGATCATAACATTCACAATCGCATCACTGTTAGAATATTGGTTTAACATGTTAAAAAACAAACAAACAAACAAACAAAATTGTAAGGAATTCAAACAACTAGATACGCCGTGCTATAAGATGATGCTTGTAAATAGAGAGAAATATGGTACACCATTGCTTCGCTCACAACAGACCACCGCTCATAGGGAGACCACCTTAACGAAAATAACTCCCAAATATTTCTCATCATTCACAAAGATTACACTGCAC